AGAGAGAGAGAGAGAGAGAGAGAGAGAGAGAGAGAGAGAGAGAGAGAGGGAGACACAGAATCCTAAGCAGGCTCCAGGCTCTAAGAAGTTAGCACAGAGCCCGGTGCGGGACTTGAACCCACAAACCATGAGATCATGATCTGAGCCAAAGTGGGACACTTAACCGACTGAGCCACCCAGGTGCCCCTGTATTACAGTATTGTTAAGAAAAGTTCCCATGTTGTACATTAGATCCGCAGAATTTGTGCCTCTTATATCTGGAAGTTTGCACCCTTTTGACCAACATCTCCCATTTCCCTACCCCCCAGCCCCCTGCAACCACCATTCCACTCTCTGTTTCTATGAATTTGGCCATTTTAGATTCCTCATATAAGTGAGATCAGGCAGTATTGGTCTTTCTCTATCTGACTTACATGCATATCTTGGAAATACTGTGGGTTTGGTTCCAGACCACTACAATAAAGCAAATAGTGCAATAAAGCCAATCAGATGACTTTTTTTTGGTGTATATAAAAGTTCTGTTTAGACGATACTGTAGTCTATTAAGTGCACTATAGCATTACATCTAAAAAAAAAAAAAACACCAATGAACGTACCTTAATTATAAATACTTTATTACTGGGGAGCCTGGGTGGCTCAGTTGGTTGACCATCTGACTTTGGCTTAGGTCATTCATGGTTCATGGGTTCAAGCCCTGAATCAGGCTGTCTGCTCTCAGCACAGAGCCTGCCTTGGATCCTCTGTACCCCTAGCTCTCTGCCCCTCCCCCACTTGTGTGCTCTTTCTTTCTCTCAAAAATAAACATCAAAAAATTTTTTTGAAGTACTTTATTACTTAGCAATGCTAGCCATCATCTGAGCTTTCAGTGAGTCATAATCACTGATCAGAGATCACCATAATACATAGAATAATAATGAAAAGGTTAGAAATTTTGTGAGAGTTACCAAAATGTGATAGAAGTGATCAGATGCTGTTGGAAAAATGCCACTGATAGACTTGCCTGATGCAGCGTTGCCACAAATGTTGTTTGTAAAAAAAAAAAAAGAAAAAGAAAAAGGCAGTATCTTTGAAGTAAAATAAAGTGAAGCATAATAAAAGGAGGTATTCCTGTGTTTCACTTAGCATAATGCCCTCAGGGTCCACCCATGTTGTCACAAATGGCAAGATGTCCTTCTTTCTCGTAACTGAGTAATACTCCGTTCTGTATACATACCACGTTTCTTTACCCATTCATCTGTCGATGGACACGTAGGTTGTTTCTGTGTCTTGGCTACTATGGGTAATGTTGCAAGGAACATGGGAGATATTCCTTTCTCAAAATAGTGATTTCATTTCTTTTGGGTATATACCAAGAAGTGGGATGGCTGGATCATATGGTAGTTCTATTTTTAAGTTTTTAAAAAAACTCCATACTGTTTTCTATAGTGACTGTAATGAGCGGATTTTTTTTTTTTTTTTAATCACAGGACTTTCTTGAACCTTTACTTGGTAATGTATGCTGTCGATTTCTTTTTTTTTAAATTTTTATCTTTAACATTTATTTATTATTGAGAGACAGAGCATGAGCATGGGAGGGGCAGAGAGAGGAGGAGACACAGACTATGAAGCAGGCTCCAGGCTCTGAGCTGTCAGCACAGACCTGACACGGGGCTTGCACTCACAAACCGCGAGATCATGACCTGAGTCGAAGTCGGACACTTAACCAACTGAGCCACCCAGGCACCCCTCTCTCTCTCTTTTTTTTCTTTTTTTTTCTTTCTTTTCTTTTTTTTTTTTTTTTTTTTTTTTTTTTTTTTTTTTAGCATTTATTCATTTTTTGAGAGAGAGAGGGAGAGGGGGAGAGAGAGAGAGAAAGAGAGAGGTAGGGGGAGGAGCAGAGAGAGAGGGAGACAGAATTTGAAGCAGGCTCCAGGCTTCGAGCTGTCAGCACAGAGCCCGACAAGAGGCTCGAACTCGTAAACCATGAGATCATGACCTGGCCAAAGTTGGATGCTTAACCGACTAAGCCACCTAGGCACCCCTGTACATTGTCAATTTCTGAGATGGGGATGTCAGGTACAGCTTCCCATATGTACTTGATTCTCTGAAGCTTTTTTCATAGTGCATTGCGAAGGGACCACTGTTTCCTAGAACGTGCTTTGGGAAATGTAGGATCTTTGTTTTTCAAAGAAACCCCAATTTTTCATATCATAACTTTGGACCTGGAATGCAGTGAGTCTCCATTTAAGTGGTGTCCTGTTCTCCCTACCTGTCTACATCAGAACTCCTCAGAATTTATTTCCTGATGACAAATAGGCTCTATGTGGGTAGTTTCATTCTTTTTTTAAAGAAGGTATTAAAAGTTTGGTGGCCTCCAAAAATAATAGGATATAATTATAATATACAGTTATATAATTAAAAGGCTATCCTTTCAGTAATTATATAATTATGATATATCATAATATAGGGCTGTCCCCTCTCCCTATCCTACTGGGCACACCCTGGATTTACACAGTTCTGCGTCAAGGGGGATTAGACACCAATTTTCATGCACCCAGAAAAGTGCACACAGGTGCCGTGGGGGTAAGTGGGATGTTGGTGTTCAGATGCAGTGTGCTGTACAATGATTCAGTGGCTCTGCCCGTCTCTTACTACCAGCCTTCTAACTTCTTATTCAAGTTCTTACTTGTCAGTCTTTCTGAATGCCCACATGTCCATCTCATTCACTGTTCTGGATTATCTTTTTTTTTTAAGTTTATTTAATTTTTTTTAACGTTTATTTATTTTTGAGACAGAGACAGAGCATGAATGGGGGAGGGTCAGAGAGAGGGAGACACAGAATCCGAAACAGGCTCCAGGCTCTGAGCTGTCAGCACAGAGCCGGACGCAGGGCTCGAACTCACGGACAGCGAGATCATGACCTGAGCCGAAGTCAGCCACTTAACCGACTGAGCCACCCAGGTGCCCCTTTTTTAAGTTTATTTACTTTGAGAGAGAGAGAGAGAGTGAGCAAGCTGGGGAGGGGCAGAGAGAGAGAGAGGGAGAGAGAGGGGGGGAGGGAGGGGGAGAGAGAATCCCAAGCAGGCTCCACGCTGCCAGCACAGAGCCCAGTGTGGGGCTTAAACCCACAAACCATGAGATCATGACCCAAGCTGAAATCTAGAGTTGGACACCTAACTGACTGAGCCACCCAGACGCCCCTCTGGATTATCTTTTTAAGTTTGTTTGCTAAGCCACATTTTGAGAGACAAAAAAACAAAAACAAAAAAACAAAAACAAAACAAAATAAAAAAAAAATTTCTTCCCTAGGGAAAGAAAATACTATTATATTATTATATACCATACATATTCTATATAGTACTTTCTCCTTCCTTTCAGGAACTGGATGCATTTCAGCCCTACCCTGTTGAAATAATTCCAGGTAGAATCTACCTGGGTAATTTCAGGCAAGCCTGCGACCCGAAAATTCAGAAAGATTTGAAAATCAAAGCACATGTCAACGTCTCCATGGAGGCAGGGCCATTGTAAGTAGAAATACTATTGATTTTTAAAAATTAAGTATGTATATAAGATTCCTGGTGCTGTGCATTTATAGAGCTGAAGGCTCTGTACTTATCATCATCTGTTCCTGGTTTATAGTCTATTTCCTGGCTTGGCCATGGCATCCTCTGCCTCTGAGACTCAGTACTTGCCCTTTAAATCTCACCACAGTCAGGGGCACCTGGGTGGCTCAGTCAGTTAAGCCTCTGACTTTGGCTCAGGTCGTGATCTTACAGTTCATGGGTTCAAACCCTGCATTGGGCTCTGTGCTGACAGCTCAGAGCCTGGAGCCTGCTTTGGACTCTGTCTCCTTCTCTCTCTGCCCCTCCCTCACATGTACTCTGTCTCTCTCTCAAACATAGACCATAAAAAAAAATTAAAATGAATGTACTCATAAAAAAAAAAAAACTCACCACAATTAATGCTTTCCTGGCATTTAGCATTATGGAGCAAAGTATCCTGTTTTGCCCTGCTTTGCTTATCTCAGGCCCTCTGAGAAATGACCCCTGTCTTAGTCCTTTGGGACTGCTATGGCAGAATACCATAGACTGATGGTTCTGGTGATTCATAAAATAAATTTACTTTTGCACCGTGTGGAGGCTGGGGAAATTCAAGATCAAGTCGATTTCATTCCTGGAGACAGCCTGCTTCCTGACTCATAGATACCCCTATTTTTACTGTGTCCTCACATGGTGGAAGGGGCAAGGGGGTGATCTGGGGCCTTTTGTACAACGGTGTTAATCCCATCCATGAGGGCTCCACCCTCATGACTGATTTATAGTCTCACTTTTGTTTTAAATTTTATTTTTTTAATTAACGTACAAATTAGCGTATAGTGTAACAATGGTTTCAGGAGTAGATTCCTTAATGACCCTTACCCATTTAGCTCATGCCCCCTCCCATACCGCCTCCAGTAAGCCTCTGTTTGTCATCCATATTTATGAGTCTCTTATGCTTTGTCTCCTTTCCTGTTTTTATATTATTTTGTTTCCCTTCCCTTATGTTCATCTATTTTATCTCTTAAAGTCCTCATAGGAGTGAAGTCCTATGATAGTTGTCTTTCTCTGACTAATTTCACTTAGCATTAATACCTTCTAGTTCCATCCACATAGTTGCAAATGGCAAGATTTCATTCTTTTTGATTGCCGAGTAATACTCCATTGTATATATAGACCACATCTTCTTTATCCATTCATCCATCGATGGGCATTTGGGCTCTTTCCATACTTTGGCTATTGTCGATAGTGCTGCTATAAACATTGGGGTGCATGTGTCCCTTTGAAACAGCACACATGTATCCCTTGGATAAATACCTAGTAGTGCAATTGCTGGGTCATAAGGTAGTTCTATTTTTAGTTTTTTGAGGAACCTCCATACTGTTTTCCAGAGTGGCTGCACCAGTTTGCATTCCCATTTACAGTCTCACTTTAACAACCCCCAAATCCCAGACAAAACGTGAAAGCAAGGGCTTCAGACAATGGCCGGCAGACAGCACAGGAGATTGATTCCTCAGACAAGGGAAAAAAAAAAACAAACCCAGATGAGCCCCTCAGTTGATCCAGTGTATTGGTAGGAGACTGTTCGCAAGTCACAGTACAGTAAGGGGGCCAAGACAGATTGCGTCATTCTTTCTGAGTTGAGGGTACGAAGTTGAGAATTCAGAGAGGTCAAGTTGGCTAGAATTTGCGGGAGAGAACTGCATGGAGAATAGAGAGCTGAATATAAAGAAAAGGTCTTGGGGCAGCTGGGTGGCTCACTCAGTTAAGTGTCTGAGTCTTGATTTCAGCTTAGGTCATGATCTCATGGTTCCTGAGTTCAAGCCCCACATCGGGCTCTGCGCTGACAGTGTGGAGCCTGCTTGGGATTCTCTCTTTCTGCCCCTCCTGTGCATGCACTCCCTGTCTCTCTCAAAATAAATAAGATAAACTGAAAAGAAAAAGCTCTTGAATCGCCCCGAGTTTTTAGCTGGATACTGCTAAACACGTGAATGTGAGAAAACTACTCAAGGCTGGGAGAAAAACCAATAGAAATGAGCTAACAGTACAATCTCCAGTACTGATCTCCAGGCCAGAGTAGTATGCGTTTCCAATCAGAGGAGACAAAACTGACTATATATTGGGCATCAAATAGAGCACTCAGAGAAGTATTGCCTCGGGGTGCCTGGCTAGCTCAGTTGGTAGAGCATGCAACTCTTGATCTCAGGGTTCTGAGTTCAAGCTCCACGTTGGGTGTGGAAATTACTTAAAAATAAATGGTGGTTAAAAAGAAAAAAGTATTGCCTCAGTTGTGAGGCCTAGATTAGGGATGAAAAAGAAAATGTCTGAGATGAAAACTACACTGACTGGAATTAATGGCAGATAAGACACTGCAGAAGAAAATGTTGGTGAATTGGAAGACATACTAGTAGAAAGTGTCCAAAATAAAACCTAGAGAAGAAAAAGAAAAAAAGAAAAACTAGAACAGAACTTCAGTGAGATTAAGAAAATTCAAGAGGCCAAACATATGTGTAAATTGGAATCTACAAAGGAGAGGAAAATGAGACAGAACACATATTTAAAGAAATAATGGCCAAAAGTTTTTCAAATTTGATAAACTATAAATAAAGTTTACCACTAGAAATAATAATTATGTGGATACATATAAAATACTTTACCCATCACTTTTAAATCTCTTCAAAACATAATTGACCACAGAAAAAATAGTAACAATGTATTTTGGGATTATAACATATGTAGAGGTAATATGGCCCACAGTTTACTAAAGCAGGAAGAGGAAAAATAGAAGTATATACCTGGAAGATTCTTACCCTATTTACATGAAGTGGTACAATGTAATAAAAAGTTGAAGATGTGTTCTAGAAACTCTAAGGCAGTGACCAAAAGATAGAACAAAAAATAAAACAAAGAATTATAATGAATAAGACACAGATACAAGGGAATCATAAAAAAATCAATCCAGGGCCATCTGGGTGGCTCAGTTGGTTAAGCGTCCAACTTCCGCTCAGGTCATGATTTCACAGTTTGTGAGTTTGAGCCCCACATCAGGCTCTGTGCTGACAGCTCGGAGCCTGGAGCCTGCTTCGGATCCTGTGTCTCCCTCTCTGTCTTCTCCTTCCCTGCTCACATACTGTCTCTCTCTCAAAAATAAATAAAGATTAAAAAAAAAAAATCAATCCAAAGAAGGCAGGATGAGGGGAACAGAGAAGAGATGAGACCAATAGAAAACAAATAGCAAGACGATCATGTCAATAATGACACTAAATGCAAATGGTCTAAATACCCCAATTATAAGGCAGAGGTTGTAGGCTGCTTATAAGAAACGTACTCTTTTTGTAAAGTTTATTTAAGTAACCTCTACACCCAACATGGGGCTCGAACCCATGACCCCAAGATCAAGAGTTGCATGCTCTTCTGACAGAGCCAGCCAGGTGCCCCAGAAACATACTTTAAATACAAAACAAAGAGAGGTTAAAAATAAAAGGATGGGAAAAGACATTTCAGGCTAAGATTAATTAAAAAAAAAAAACACAACTTTTGGAGCAACTCCATTATTAGATAAATTGACCTTCACAACAAAGAATACTACCACATAAAAATTCCCCTCATTTCATTAAGGGAAGGTGGTCAGTTAATCTAGGTGCTAGATTCTAGAGAATCCACAATTATTTTTTTAAATTTTTAATGTTTATTTATTTTGAGAGCGTGAGCGGGGGAGGGATAGAGAGAGGGAGACACAGAATCCGAAGCAGGCTCCAGGCTCTGAGCTGTCAGCACAGAGTCTGACACGGGGCTCAAACTCACAAACTGCGAGATCATGACCTGAGATGAAGTTGGATGCTCAACCGACTTGAGTCACCCAGGTGCCCCAAGAATCCACAATTATTATCAGAGATTTCAACATCTCTCTTGACAGACAGACAATAGGCTATAATTTTAAAGATTAGAAGAGCACTACCATCCACATTTACCTAGTTGACAATTATAAGGCACTCTACCCAATAAAAGTAGTGTTCTTCTGGTCTTTGAATGTGTTCTATAGTACACATTCTTTTCAAGGGAACATGGAACATTTTTTGCCAAGATAGAATATTCTGGGCATTAAAACAAGTGTCAAAAGACAAATAATTTGTTATAAAAATTATGTTTTTATGTTCTGACTACAGTGGAATTAAGTCAGAAACCAATAACAAGATATCTCGGAAAAATTCCAAATGTTTGGAAACTAAGTTACACACTTCTAAGTAGCCTATGGGTCAAAAAGAAACCAAAAGGGAAGTTAGAAAGTATTTTGAACGGAATGAAAATAAAAACACCACATGTCAAAATTTGTGGATGCAGGTACAGCAGTGCATAGAGGGAAATTTATAGCCTAAATGCCTATATTTGAAGAGTTTCAAATCAAGGACCTAGACTTCCACTTAAAAAAAAAAATTAGAAAAAGTAAGCAGGAGGAAGGAAATGATTAAGAGCAGAAATAAGTGAAATAGAAAACAAAACAATTCCAGAAACTCAATGAAACCAAAAGCTGGCTCTCTGAAAAGAGCGATAATATTGCCAAACCCATTCCACACTGATCAAAAAAGAAGAGAGACAAGACAAAAATCATCAATCTTAGGTACAGAGGAAGGAAAATTTTCATTCTAGATGCTACAAATGTTAAAAAGCATTCTGTGGGCATTTATCCCACAGAGGTGAAAACTTATAATTACACAAACCTGTGTGTGAATGTCCACAGTGGCTATTTAGCGGATGAATGGTTGGACAGACTGTGGTGTACATATACCATGGAATCCTACTCAGTAATAAATGGAATGAACTCCTGATACATGCAACAACTTGGGTAAATATCCAGGGAATTAACACCAAGCTGATGATGATAATGATGATAATAATAATGATAATAATAAGGCCATCCCAAAAGGTTACCTATTGTTCCATTTGTATAGCATTTTTGGTATCACAAAATTTTAGAAATAAAGGACAGATTAGTGGTTATCAGAAATTAGGGAAGTTTGAGTTTGGGGCACGGGGTGGGGCAGGTATGGTTACAAAAGGGCACGCGTGAGGAATCCTTAGTGTTAGAGCTGTTAAGTATTTTTGTTTTTTAAGTTTCTTTATTTTGAGGGAGAGAGTGCATGTGCAAGCAGGGGAGGGGCAGAGAGAGAGGGAGACAGAAAATCCAAAGCAGGCTCCGTGCTGATAGCACAGGGATCAATCCCATAAGCCTATGAGATCATGACCTGAGCTGAAATCAAGTCAGACGCTTAACCAACCGAGCCATTGAGGTGCCCGAGAACTGTTCAGTATTTTGGCTAGTATCTCCCGGATACATAAATCCGCACAGGTGATAAATCTGTATAGAACTTATTACATGCATGTGCACATGCACGCGCACACACACAATACAAGCAAAACTGGGGAAGCCTGAATACAGTTGGTAGATTGCATCAGCATCAATATCCTGGGCTATTATAATACAGTTTTGCAAAATGTTATCATTGGGGAAACTAGGCAAAGCATACAGTGAATCTCTCTGTGTTATTTCTTATAACTGCGGGTGAATCTAGAGTGACCTCAGTAAAAGTTTTAATTAAAAATTTAAAAATAATTAGGAAATATTACGAGTAATTTTATGCCAACACATTTGAAATTTCAATTAAATGAACCCGTTCCTTGAAAGACTCAAGCTATCTAATCACCTATTGATTAGATATCACTATTGATAACAAATAGATCATCTCTGGGTGCCTGGGTGGCTCAGTTGGTTAAGCATCTGATTCTTCATTTCAGCTCAGGTCATTGATCTCATGGTTTATCTCTTCCGGGTGTGGGGCTTGATCCTACGACCCTGAGATCACGACCTGAGCCAAAATCAAGAGTCAGATGCTCAACCAACTGAACCACCCAGAAGTCCATGATCCACTTTGAAATAATTCTTGCATATGGTGCCAAATGTAGAGCTAAGTTCATAGTTTTTGGTTTTTTTGTTTTGTTTTGTTTTGCTTTTCAGTAGGGTCTGTACCCAATATGGGGCTTGAACTCATGACCCCGAGATCAAGAGTCACATGTTCTACCAACTGAGCCAGCCAGGGGCCCCCATTATTTGTTGAAAAAAAAATGATTCTTCTCCTGTTGGACTGATTAGATACCTTTGTTGAAAATCCATTGACCTTGTGTGTGTGGGATTATATCTGGATTCTTCTTTTTTTTTTTTTCTGGATTCTTTATTCTTTTTCACTGGCCTGTATTTTTATACCAGTTCTGCACTCTTGACTATTGTAGCTTTTTCAAAGTTGTCTCCTTTGCATTTCCACATACATTTTAATTTTTTTTTTAATGTTCACTCATTTTTGAGAGAGACAGACAGACAGATAGACAGAGACAGAGCTCGAGCGAGGGAGGGGCAGAGAGAGGGGGATACACAGAATCTGAAGCACGCTCCAGGCTCTGAGCTGTCAGCACAGAGCCTGACGCAGGGCTTGAACTCACAAACTGCAAGATCATGACCTGAGTCCAAGTTGGACGCCCAACCAACTGAGACACCCAGGTGCTCCTCTGTATATATTTTAGAAGCAGCTTGCCAGTTTCTACAAAAAGCCTGCTGGAATTTTGATTGGGTTTGAATTGTATCCATAGGTCAGTTTGGGGAGAATCTTACCAACATTGAGTCTCCTGATCCATGAGCATAGTCTATCTCTCCATTTACTTAGCTCTTTCATTTCTCTAAAAAATGTTTTATAATTTCCCAGTGTACATGTTTTACACACTTCGTGTCAGATTTCTTCCTAAGTATTTGATATTTTTGACGTGGTTATAAATGGTATTTTTAAAATGTCAATTTCTGATTGTTCATTGCTAGTATATAGAAATGCAGTTGATTTTCTTTTAAATTTTTTTTTTTCAACATTTATTTATTTTTTTGGGACAGAGAGAGACAGAGCATGAACAGGGGAGGGGCAGAGAGAGAGGGAGACACAGAATTGGAAACAGGCTCCAGGCTCTGAGCCATCAGCCCAGAGCCCGACGCGGGGCTCGAACTCACGGACCGCGAGATCGTGACCTGGCTGAAGTCGGACGCTTAACCGACTGCGCCACCCAGGCGCCCCAAAATGCAGTTGATTTTTTTAGTAAGCTTGTACCCTTCTACCTTCTCCATCTAGATGCCTCCTACACTGTGAAGCTTTCCCCAGCTCCCTCAACTTCTCTCTGCTCTTCTTCTCCAGTATCACATGCAGGTCTTTATCCCCAAACCTAGCCAGTTGGATTGGGACCATTTGTTTCTGTGTCTGCCTCCCCCATCAGACCGGGAGCTCCTTGACGTTGGAAGAGGCCAGCTCCTATTTGGTTCATCTTGTGCCCACTAGGGTCCAGCCCACGGTCTGGCACACAATAAATAGTCATTGAGTGAGTGTCTGAGGAAAGAATGAATAGATGGGTGTGGATGGATAGATGGAGGAGGGAGGGGGGAGGGAGGGATAGATGGAGGAGGAAAGGATGGATGGATGGATGGACGGATGGATGGGAATTGTATTTGCTAAACCAGGCTATTTTTGTTTCTGAATCTGCTGCAACTTCCTGCGTGCCACAGTGGTCTGCATACTGCTGAATGTCACCAGTAGACCGCAGTCTTCATAAATAACATTGACCAAATACTTACGGCATGCTGGACATTCTGCAAGCTCCCTGCAGGCATCTTCTCGTTAAACATGTCACACACCTCCTCTCCTCCTCTCTCTCCTGTGTTCATAAAGTTCTAGCCACTCTGATTTCTCTGTTGGTTCTCAAATCCATCACACATACTCCATCTCTGCACCTTTGCCCTGTTCTCCTCTGCTCAGGGCCCTCTTTGCTCAGATGACTGCTTGGCTTGTTCCATCACCTCTTTTAAGCCTGTGCTCAAATGTTACCTCCTCAGTGAAGCTTTCCCTGACCGCTAAAACAGCCACCTACCACTCTCCATCTCCTATCTGGGGCTTTCTCCGTTTAACATGACAGGTTCATTCTCCAAGTTCATTACCTATTCCTTCCCATCCTCATTTTACTTTCTGCACCATATTCTAGGAAAGTACCACGTTTGGTTAATAATAATAATGATGTCCTGTTTCTTGAGCGTTTATTCAATAAGTGTGCCAAGCAGACTGCCAAATGCTTTACATAGATGAACGGACTTCACCCACATGACACACCTATGGGGCAGGGGCTTTTTTTTTTTTTCTGCGAGAGGTCCAGTTATTTGCCTGCTGCTGTGGATGAGGACCGCTCCAGCGAGCCTGTGTGTGAGGCTGCCCGATTGCCTGCTTTCCTTCTGTTTAGTTTTGTAGATGACGCTGACAGCCTCCTGCACATCAAGATAGAAGATTCCCCGGAAGCCAACCTTTCCCCCTTTTTAAGGCACCTCTGTCACTTTCTCGGTAAGGGGCAATCTCCAACCAGGAAGCCACTGGTCTGTGCCCAGGGGCCAGAAGGGCTGTGGTACCTTGTCCACGCTTCTGCTTCTGATCGTGACTGTCAGCACTGAGGAAAGAAAGGGTGGGGCCCAGCACAAGCCCAGCTAGGTGTGGCCAAGCCCCAGGACAAGCTGTCCCTCAGGAGCCCTTGGCAATGAGGGCAGCCACATGTTTACCTTGGGGGTAGTGGGGCCAGATAAGACCACCGGATTGCAGATTGAGTGCCCTGCATTCTGACCGTGGCTGGACCAGTAGGCCCTTTTGGGTCCACTTAAGCCTTGGTCCCGGCCTCACTGCACCTGTTGGGAAATGAGAGTGTTGCCCGCCTCCCTCCCCCCACCACCTGCTGTGGGTGCATATGGTCAGAGCAGCCTGCTCTGGGCTCTGGGAACCCAGAGGTGAATCATACTCCATCCCTGCCCTCCTGTCCTGTCAATGGGTGGAATGGATGGAAAATTCCAGAACCCTCCCAGCTCTGACTTCCAGGATCCCCAGTGTGTGTGCCCAGTGTCCCTTTGGTTCTCCCATCACACATAGCAGTGCCCACCAATCACTTACCTCATTGAGGGTGCAGTTTTCAGTCACCCCAGGGCTCACGATTGCCCAAGGAGAGCAAGATGGCTGGAGAGATTGAGGTTGAGTCCAGTCAGGAGCCCTACCCCAGGGCTGCCTGCTGGGTACCACTTCAGCCCCCAGCCCACATGGCCGCACCAGGGGCCAGAGAATGGCTTTTTGGCCCAAACATCCTTATTTGCCTGGGAGGTTGCAACATTCACTTGACCAGTATCTAGACTGTGACTTGCCCTGTGTCTCACCTTGGGATGGCAGAGTCCTGTGCCATAGAGGCCCCCTCTCCAGCCCTACCTTGCTGGGTGGGACTTGCTGGGCCAGTCCTTAACTGCTCTGTGTCTCTGATTCCTTGTCCATATGATGAGGCACTTGGCCTTAACCATCTCCTCCAGTGCTTACGGTCTGCAATTTTGCATGTGGTATGTTTATCTCCAGTTCTCAGAGGTTACCCGATCAGCTCAGGATACCAGCTTAAATTTCCTCCCCACCCCTCACTGGGTGAGCCTCAGCCTCAGGGGCGTTATTAAGTGTGATCATAGCTGACCTCTCCGTGTCAGGCATGGGGCTAAGCACAGGACAAAACCTTTTGAGGTAGGTAGTATACTGTAACCCCATTTTCTGGAGGATAAAACTGTGCCTTAGAGTAATATGCTCGGGCCATACAGCCAGTGAGTGGCCGAGCCAGGATTCATACCCAGGCCGTACTGCCTCTGTCAGCACCCCCATGTCCTGGGGGGACCATCTTCTCATCCCACTCAGGAGGCCAGCTGGTAACTGAGCTTCTTGGGCTAGAAACCTGGAGAGCCAAAAAAAAAAAAAAAAAAAAAAAAAAAAAAGACCTTTGCATGATAATGCTGAACACCCAGTGTGATTCTCTTGAACTGCCAGTGAGGTCTGAGGACCTCCATGTGCCAGGTGATGAAACAGTGTCCCAGAGATGTTGCGTGACTAGCCTATGCCATGGTGTGCTGGGTCTGAACTCACTCTTGGACCATTGGCCCCTGAAGCCAGTCAGCTTACAGCAACTAAGGTCCACAGGGAACAAGGCCATGCAGGTCCCTCACCTTTCCTTCCTCTTGCAGAACTTCACCTCCAGCTTGGCTCTGTCATCCTGGTCTTTTCCACCCTGGGCATCAGTCGCAGCTGTGCGGCCATCTTGGCCTTCCTCATGCACTGGAATGAGCAGACCTTGAAGGTACGCACTCCCCAGGCGAGGATCAGACTGCAGCTACCTCCAGCAGGCAGCGTCAAAGCTGGACCTGGGAGGAAGGGGGCCCAGGCACTACCTTGGGGCCCTAACTGGGGGGCTGGAGGGAGAGGGGTCAGGGAAGGGAGCTCCAAGTCTAGGGCTCTATCCAGCATACACACCCAGGGGCAAGGTCCCAGAGGTCTGGGCCAGAGGCTGAGGCTGTGACATTAGAGACCTGAGGCTTGGGGTGCCTGGGTGGCGCAGTCGGTTAAGCGTCCGACTTCAGCCAGGTCACGATCTCGCGGTCTGTGAGTTCGAGCCCCGCGTCAGGCTCTGGGCTGACGGCTCAGAGCCTGGAGCCTGTTTCCGATTCTGTGTCTCCCTCTCTCTCTGCCCCTCCCCCGTTCATGCTCTGTCTCTCTCTGTCCCAAAAATAAATAAACGTTGGAAAAAAAAAAAAAAAAAAAGAGAGACCTGAGGCTTGGCGTGTGAGGCAAGCCCAGAGACTCAGGCTGGGCAAGGCCATGGCCAGCCACACCCTCGTCCTGTCCCTCCTCAATCTGACTACTGGCATTTGTTCAGGCTTCTCCCAAGGAGGTAAGTTTTGGCTATTGCTTGGAGCCAGAGACTTGCAGCACCCCCAGGCTCCAAGGGCACCTACTCTGACAGTCTTTACCCAGATTGGAGAAGGGGGCAGAGACCTATCTCCACAAACCCTGTGGAACCAGGGCTCCTGGTGCCAAGGGCAGTGTGTTCTGAGTGCGCTGGGAAATGGCAGATCTGCCCTGAGGGGAGGAACAGCTTGTGCGTGATTTCCGAGGACTTGGGTAGGACCCACACAGCTCCCACATATGCCCGGGGCTGTGCTTGGAGGAAGGGGAGCATCGAAGAATGACCATGGTCAGGGCCTACTGCTGGTGGTTTTGGATATTGACCCCACATGCTCTGTGGGGGTGAAATTGCAAGCTAGAAGGAGTCTTAGACGGCCAAGAATTCTACCTGTGGGTACATACCTGGCAGAAGTGAAAGCAAAGACTCCGAAGTTTGTAGAACCATGTTCTTGGCAGCAGCACTGACGGTAGCCGGGAGGAGGGAGTGACCCAAGTGTCCATCGACAGATGGGAAAATAAGTGGGTAGTCTATCCACACAATGGAATATTACTCAGCCTTAAAAAGGGAAGACATTTTGACACCTGCTGCAACATGCATGAACCTGGAGGACATTGTGTGGAGTGGAATAAGTCACAAAAGGACAAATACCATATGATTCCGCTTATATGAGGTACCCGGAGTCGTCAAAATCACAGACGTTGGAGGTAGAATGGTGGGTGCCGAGGGCAGGGGGCAGCGGAAACGGGGAGCTGTTTAATGGACATGAAGCTTTGGTTTGGGAAGATGGAAAAGTTCTGGAGATGGATGGTGGTGCTGGTTGTGTGATGCAGCGAATGTACTTAATGCCACTGAACTGTACGTCCAAACCCGGTTACGGTGGTAAGTTTTCTGTATGCGTATTTTACCACAATTGACACCATTGAAAAAGAAAAGCATCTGGATGCAGAATCGCAGGCCTGGAGCGAGTGAACCAGACCCCTGTTCTCACCCCGTGCAAGGTGAATTGTCGGAGGTCATTGCCTGCTTGAGTGTTTTGGTGTGTGCTGCAGGGAAGGGCGTGATGTTGCTGATAAATCTGGGGAGGGAGGCCTGTGCCGTTGCTCCTGTAGAGATGCCTCTCCAGCCACCTCCCCAGGAATGGGTGCTGGCCTGCAAGGGGCCCCTTCTCTGCTGCCTTGTTGAGCTGGAATGTGGAGAAGACTGGAGCTGGCAGGAGGTGTGGAGAGCTCACTGCTTGCAGGGGGTGTTCTAGGATGGGAGCTCCCCAGGAGTTCGAATGGGGCCAATGGGAGCCCTGGCCTGCTGGGGTCCCTGATTTCCTTATGGCTCACGGTGAGGTTTGGGTACAAAAAGGTCGAGCGAGAATCTTGCAGTTCTGATATTTAGTGATGTTTCCCAGCCCTGACAAGCACATCACAGTCTTCTCTCTGCTCCCAGGCTTCCAGAGCTGGCTGGGGTGAGTGCAAGAGGGAGGGTTCACCCACCTGGCTCCTCTGAGTTCTCTAGCAGCGAAGGCCAGGTCCCTTCGGCGATGTGGTGGCACCCATGGGCCCACCCACGGGTCCCCACATAACTCTAGCAGTGAATTCGAGGGCCATCTGGGTGTGGCTGTCCTGCTCAGTGGGAGGACAGGTGCTTGGGTCCCTGAAGGACCCAAGTCCTCCTCTCAGGAGGAACCTGGGATTAGTAATCTGTGTTGTGTGCAGGGATGTCCTGTTGCTGGGGTTCTGCCCTGAGATGCCATCTAGATAACTCTTGACAAAAAATGCTATGCAACCAGAGCTGTGGACAGCAAGGACTGCCACTGTGACCTTGCTGGGTCTTTTCCAGACTGAGTTAGTCGTGTGTGGTGGTTAAGTTTTCCTAACCGTTACCAAGCAGTGCCCTGCATTACTGACAGAGGTTGACCTGGGCTCAGCTCTGCTGCTGCCTGGGGTCCAGAAAGACATTCCCTCCTCCTGTTGTCTGTGTGGTCCTGGGATCCTCCTCCGTGCACTGGGGAAGCCATGTCCCTGGCTGTTGTCAGCTCAGTTGAGATGGTCAGAGCCCATGGGCTTGGCAAAAAAAAAAAAAAAAAAAAAAAAAAAAAAAAGTGTGGGCCACACTGGGGCAATATACTGCTTCCTGGGGTTTATGGTCCCAGCTGAGCTCACTGGGGCACCAAGACCAGAAGTGGGGAGTTAAGGGGTGAACCCTGAGCCACCCTGCTTGTCCTGGGCTTTCAAAGCTTTGGCACAAGGTTGTGTGGGATCCCAGAGCCAGCAAGTCCTTAAGAAATCTATTTCAGTTCCTTTAAACTGCTGACAGTAACTTTGTCCCTTAAAAGATCTTCAGAGAAAAAACAAAACAAAATAAAACAAAACCCAACTCCTGAGGCACCATAATGGCTACTATTGGCAGAGTGCCAGGTCGTTGTGAATACTTCTTGCATAATGAAACCACAAGGACCCCGCAGATTGTTATTATCCCTGTTTTGCAGGAGGCTTCTAGAGGCTGAGTAATTTGCCCAAGGCTCCATAGCTGTAAGTGGCAAAGCTGGAATCCAAAACCACCACACGGCACAGTTTGAGAATCTGGGCTTTACACAGAGCCCAAGGTGGTGGGAAGAGCATTGGCCTTGCACCCTGAAGAATGGGGCTGTGGGCTGGCTGCTGCCTCTTACCAAGAGTGACCTGGCCACATACCTTCATCCTTCGATCTCACTGGTGTTTTCTGTGAGTCCAAGCAGATGCTTTGTAGGCTGAAAGGGGTTGTGAGCAGTGAGTGTGGGGGACTGTGATTATAGTTTGTCCTCAGGGGCCCCATCTGACCTGATCAGGACTTAGTAAACCTTACAACTGCATAGCTCTGCCCCAGGTACCACTGTTGTTGTTATTGTTGTTTTAAATGGCAAAATACAGATAACATGAAATTTACCATTCTGTCATTTGTAAGCATGCAGTTCAGCAGCGTTAAGTACATTCACACTATTGTGCAGCCGATCTCCAGAACTCTTTTCATCTTGCAAAACTAAAGCTCTATACCCATTAAGTAACAATTCCACATTCTCCTCTCCGCCCAGCCTCTGGAAACCACCATTCTCCTTTCTGTGTCTATGAATTTGACTCCTTCAGGTACCTCATATAAGTGGAATCATACAGTATTTGTCCTTTTGTGAGTGGCTTATTTCACTTCACATAATATCCTTAAGGTTCATCTATGTTGTAGCATGTGCCAGAATTTCCTTGCTGAATGATATTCTGTTGTATGTAGTATTCACCAGTGAGCCCTTCAGGGCCTGGTGCTTTCTGTTTTGGAAGATATGTTTTTCTTTAATAGATAAAGGCCTATTCAGATTGTGTGATTTTGTGTGAGTTTTGGCAGATTGTGTCTTTCAAGGAATTGGTCTGTTTTATCTAGATGCTATGTGGACATGATGTTGTTCATAGTATTCCTTTAGTCTCCTTTTAATGTCCATGGGCTCTGTAGTGATGTCCCTTTTTCATTTCTGATATTAATGAATTGTATCTTCCCTCCTTTTCTTAGTCTTGCTAGAAGCTGATCAATTTTGCTGATTTTTTCCCCCAAAGAACCAGCTTTTGATTTCATTGATTTTTTTTTCTGTTGATTTTCTGTTTTCAATTTCATTGATTTTGGCTTTAATTTTTATTTTTTTCTACTTACTTTGGGTTTAATTTACTCTTCTTAGTTTCCTAAGAAGGAAAACTTAGAGGATTGATTTAGATGAACATTCATCTTGTGAATGTTCCATTTGATCTTGAGAAGAATGTATATGCTGTTGTTGGATGGAATATTCTATAGGTGTCAGTTATATCTAGTTAATTAATGGTGCTGTTGAGTTCAACTATGACCTTATTGATTTTCTGCCTGCCATATCTGTCCATTACTGATAGAAAAGTGATGAAGTCTCTAGAACAGTGGATTCATCTATTTCTCCTTGCCTCACATATATTGATGTTGTTAGGTACATGCCACTGTATGTATGTATATACGTATTTTGTTTATCCCTTCATCTGTTGATGGACCTTTGGGTTACTTCTACCTTTTGTTTATTTTTTGAATAATGCTACTGTGACTGTGGGTGTGTGAATAGCTTTGAGATCTTGCTTTCAGTTCTTTTTTTCCTGTTTTATTCTTTGTGAAGATATAATTAATATATAACATCAGTTTCAGGTATATAACAATTGTTCAGTGTTATGTACATACTACAAAATGATCACAATAAGTCTTGTTAACATCCATCACCACATATAGGTACAAATTTTTTTCTTGTAAGGAGAACTTTTAAGATCTACTCTCTTAGTAACTGTAAATTATACAGTACAGCATTAAGTATAGTTACCATACTGTGTATATTCCTATGACGTATTTTGTAACTGGAAGTTTGTACCTTT